AGAAATACAGAAAGAAAGAAAAGAAGGAAGGAAAAGGAGAGAGTGGGGAGAGGGTGGAAGAAAGGAAGGAAGAAATGAATGCAGGAAGGAAGGAGGGAAGGAAGGAAGAAATGCAGAAAGGAAAGAAAGAAGGAAGGAAGGAAATAAGGAATTTAGAAAGAAAGAAATCCAGAAAGGAGGGAAGGAAGGAAGGAAGGAAGGAAGAAAGAAGAAAAAGAAGGAAGGAGAAAGAAGGAAGAAATACAGAAAGAAAAGAAAAGAAGGAAGGAAAAGGAGAGAGTGGGGGGAGGATGGAAGAAAGGAAGGAAGAAATGAAAGGAAGAAATGCAGAAAGGAAAGAAGGAAGGAGGGTAGGAAAGAAGAAACGAAGGAATGAAAGAAGGAATGTAGAAAGAAAGAAACCCAGAAAGGAAGGAAGAAATACAGAAAGAAAGAAAAGAAGGAAGGAGAAGGAGAGAGCAAGGGGGAGGATGGAAGAAAGGAAGGAAGAAATGAATGCAGGCAGGAAGGAGGGAAGGAAGGAAGGAAGAAATGCAGAAAGGAAAGAAGGAGGGAGAGTAGAAAAGAAGAAACGAAGGAATGAAAGAAGGAATGTAGAAAGAAAGAAACCCAGAAAGGAAGGAAGAAATACAGAAAGAAAGAAAGAAAAGAAGGAAGGAAAAGGAGAGAGCAAGGGGGAGGATGGAAGAAAGGAAGGAAGAAATGAATGCAGTATGGAAGGAGGGAAGGAAGGAAGGAAGAAATGCAGAAAGGAAAGAAGGAAGGAAGGAATGAAAGAAGGAATTTAGAAAGAAAGAAACCCAGAAAGGAGGGAAGGAAAGAAGGAAGAAAAGGAAAAAGAAAAGAGAAAGAAAGAGAAATGAAGGAAGGAAGGAAGAAAGACACCAAGAAGGGAAGGGAAGGAGGGGGAAGCCGGGTAATGGCCTGGATTTCCGGAAGCGGGAGAGGGGGGGGGGGTTCCTCAAGGGAGGGGTCCTCTCCGGGGGGCTTCCCCTTCCCTTTCTTCCCTCCCCTTCCCTTCCCTTCCCGAGCGCCTCCAACCCCGCCCTTCCCACCCCTCCCCACTGGCGCGAGAGAGAGTCCAATAGCCCCTCCCCACTGGTGAAGCCCCCCTCCCCTTCCCCCTCCCGAGAGCCACGCGTGTCCCCATGTGGCCCCTTTCCTTTCTGGGCCAGGCACCCAGTGGGCTTAATTCCGGGCCGCTGCCTGATTTTAATGAGGGGCCGCCCCCCCGCCCCCCCCCGTCGCTCCCAAAACCAGGCCACACGCGGGGATTCAATGGGACTTTTGTCACGCACCCCCCTCTCCCCTCCCCTCCCCCTTATTCTGCTAATCATTCCTCCCCCTTGGAGCCCCCTCCCTCCCTCCCTCCCACCTTGACCTGCCTGACACCCTACAGAGGTGGCATGGGCCAACTTCGGCCCTCCCTCCAGGGCTTTTGGACTTCAACTCCCACCATTCCTAGCAGCCTACCGGCTGCTAGGAATGGTGGGAGTTGAAGTCCAAAAGCCCTGGAGGGAGGGCCGAAGTTGGCCCATGCCACCTCTGTAGGGTGTCAGGCAGGTCAAGGTGTGGCTTCCCTTTGTTTACATCACTGTTTACATCTCTATTGTTTACATCTCTATGGAGCAAAAGGGTCAAGTCCAGTATGGGCTTGTGTGGGGTCAACCCTGGCAAAAGAGGCCCCCCACCTACCCACTCACTCCCTGCCTGCCTTGGAAGGGGAAGGGGAGGCCTTTGGCTCCGTGACCCCGACGTGATTCGAACACGCAGCCTTCTGATCTGGAGTCAGACGCGCTACCGTTGCGCCACGAGGTCCGCCCGGCCAGGCCTTGCCCGGACAGGGTCATCCAGGACCAAGGGCCGCCCTTCCCTGCCTGCCTGCCTGCCTTCCTGGGGAGGGGACGTGGAGGGCCTTCGGACCCCCAGGGAAACGGGGACAGAGAGGAGGGGCGCACAAGGGACCCCCCACATAACCACAACATGAACAGCAAAGATGACCATGAAGCAGAAGTGGCCAAACCATCTGCAGAAACAATGGGCAAGCCATATAATAATAATAATAATAATAATAATAATAATAATAATAATAATAATAATAATAATAATAATAATATAATAACAATAACAACAAAGCTGACCATGAAGCAGAAGTGGCCAAACCATCTGCAGAAACAATGGGCAAGCCATTAAATAATAATAATAATAATAATAATAATAATAATAATAATAATAATAATAATAATAATAATAATAACAACAACAAAGCTGACCATGAAGCAGAAGTGGCCAAACCATCTGCAGAAACAATGGGCAAGCCATATAATAAATAATAATAATAATAATAATAATAATAATAATAATAATAACAACAACAAAGATGACCATGAAGCAGAAGTGGCCAAACCATCTGCAGAAACAATGGGCAAGCCATTAAATAATAATAATAATAATAATAATAATAATAATAATAATAATAATAATAATAATAATAATCATA